GTTCCAAAAATGGCTTGACAAACAATCACAAAGATCATAGCGTACTATGTCTATTTAATTACAATATTTTGTCGGGAAATCAAGAAGAATGCCCTTCTACTTTTACCGGAAGAGAATAAAGATGAATATTACCTTTTTAAACAATGTAAGATTTCTACCCTTAACTTCTTTAGTTATGTATTGACTTAAAAAAGGTAGAATTCTAAGAGAAATACACTATAAACTAAATAGTTTAATTTAGGCATATTTGTGATTTTATCAATTTTTTTTATTTAAAAATTGTAATCCCTTTCTGTGGTCCACCAAATACCAGTTTGAGGCTCTTCACTGAGCTATACTATAACTTCCTTATCTTTCATTTCACTTAAAAATCACTTTAAATGATGAACCTGCAAAAGTTAGCCATCCATATACTGAGCCCAATATCTTCCTCATTAAAAACAGTTAATTTGACTACATAGTAAGAGGTGGTTGTTGGTTTTTTCCTTTTATTAATTTTAAGTGATATGAAATCTATACTAGCCTTCATTTATATATAAGTTCCCAACCCTTCATTTAATCACAGATGATTAACTTATTAACTTCAATTAATTAGTATTAACCACATGTGGTTTTCTGGGGTAAAATTGTATTTTTATTCATTGAAATAATTTGTTTTAAACATTTTCTCCAAAAAAGTAGAATTGAATGGAACTACCACATAAGTGGTATTTTCCTAAGTGACCCTATGAAAAAATAAAATAAAATACACCATCTCCATATATAACTGTTGTGGAAGAAATTAAAGCCTGAGCCCAAACCATGGCAGGAGCTCCATGGTCGAAAAGGCAGGGCAATTTGGTGTTGGCCCATTTTAATTCGAGTTTGAAAAATCGCACATCTTTTGCTCTTGTTCATTACCAGTCGTTTTCAAGAACAATACTAAAGTAGACAAGTGGAAGAGAATGGATTTTTTGAAAAACAGAAAAACCAAAAAAGAATGGAGGACCGAGAGACCTTTTTTTTTTTTTTTTATTAGTTAGGAAACTTTTTTTTTTCTTCTCACAAAAAATACACGTAAATCAAAAATAATTTTAATCTATGAACTAAACGGGTTCTGAATATTTTCAAATACATAGGGGTGAATTTCAACACAAAATACATGGCTTTCAAAATTACCTTACGTAACGGACTGTCAACGTGAGGAAGGTAGTTCTCCTGGCAGTGGAGATCGTAGTTAATGAAAAAGTTTATGGTTGTTGTATTCCTAACCATTTTAAGTGACATATTTATAATATTAATTTTTCATTCATTCAATATCTATTTTAAGTGTATAAATATTCAATTTCGACCTCATTATAACGAAGAACACAAATCCATTGAGATTTATCTTAAAATCTAATTAGGCTCCTTTTTAAAATGGCTTAACAAACCATTTTTCCAACACGTAGTTGATGAAAAAGTTTATGGGTTGTTATATTCCTAACAAGATCAAGATTCATGTTTGGCGAGCGTTTAACTAAGTTCTTCCAGTGAGAGCCGCGTTGGCGGGTTGGGGTGTGGATGTTCCTCATTGTTTCAAATGTGGTGCAAGCTACGAAGATGTTAGTCACTCTTTATGGTGTTGCTCTATGGCCCAGGAAGTTTGGGAAACTTGGTTCAATATGGCCGAAGCTTAAAGGTTTTAAGGGTAGACACTTTAGTGGCTTATATGTCGTTTCATAGCTCAGGAAGGTTCTAAGGAAGATTTGAATGTATATGGCTCAATCGGAATAAGATGTTGTTTGAGAATTCTCATCGAACTGCTAAGGAAATATATAATTGATCGTACGGGCCAGTTATTAGGAGAGTTCCAATCATGCAGGTGTTTGGATGGAAAGGTGGTACACCAACCGACTCCTCCCAAGCAGCCTTGGAAACCACTTATTATGGGTCAACTTAAAATTAATAGTAGATCTGCTGCGACGAAATGAGAGTTTTATTGGTGTTGTGCTTGTTATTCGTAATGAGGAGGGAGAGGTGTTAATGGCTGCTTCTAAACGAACTGGAAGGAAGGTTTTCTCCGCATGTTGTTGTTGGAGAATTTGAGTGTAGAGGGTGAAAAAAATGCAGAAAATAAGAGAGGGTTTGAGACGTATAGAAATATTTTTTTTAAAGTTTTATTTACCTACACTTCTCAAAGTTTGTTAATGAGTTTTAATGGTTAATTACCCTCAAGATATAACAAACCATTGAACACAATATCTAGTAATAATATTGAGTTTCAGAACACTCATACAAGTCTGTAAATTTTTTAGAGAATTAATAAAGACAGAGTTGCCATTTCATGAATGAATGCATTCTCTTTAAACATTATAAGCATTCACATAAAGGTACATTTTCAATGTAAAGGTATTTTTTCATGGATTAATACACATATTACAATAGTTATATCTATTGCTAATTGGTGTTCAGATATGTATGAAAACATATCACCAATAGATGTAATGGTTCGAAACGTTTTAGATTACATAAACTCATGAAAACATTATTTTCTGTAAAATTTTTGCTGCAGCGGATGTTTTCCCGCTACAGCTGCAAATGGACCCGAGACCTACAAACATTTCGACTGCAGCGTGCAGCTGAAATATTTTGGCTGCAGCATGCAACCGAAATATTTTGGTTGCAGCCAATTTAGCCGAATCGAAACAGTTTGTCCGCTGCAACGTTTTGAAGTCCTTTTAACGTGAGTTTTCATGTTTTAATACTTAAACAATTTGTGATCTTAATCAAGACATATTACAATCTTTTTACAGTTGTAGAGTGCTTGGCTATTCGAGAAGGGATCACCTTTGCTCTGGAAAGAGGTTTCCATAACTGGGTGCTTGAGTCAGACGCAAACAATGTTGTTCGGGCAATTCAACTTCCAAGTTCTAGAGCTCTATAATCAACCATCATTGGCGATACCAAATCTAATTTAGATTTAGCTTCTTATAGTTCTGTTTGCTATGTATGGTGTTCAGAGAATTACGTAGCCCATATGTTAGAATCTTGTGTTTTTTAATTTATCTAATAAGTTGTGGCTAAATTGTAGTATGAGATTTATCAGTTATTTTGTCCAAGCTCATTTAGTAGTTTCTATTGAATAAAAAGATGCTTTTTCACTTCAAAAAAAAGAAAAAAAAAATTGCCTTACGTAATACGTTTTATACCTAAACGTCATGTCGTTTCATTTAAAAACATGTACACTTTAAAAAACGACGTGCCATTTATAAAGATAACATGTTTCAAAGTTTAAAAGGATAGTAGCCTTCATCAAATGGCCTTTCTTCTGCGACATAAGTCGTTTACATACGTTTTATCAAAAGGAGAAATATGTTTTCTTTTGTTTACTCTTCAAATTGTCAAAGAACACCTAAAAGGAGGCAAGAACCTAATTAACTTCTAAAAAAGTAGCAATTACTGTTGTTTTATTTTACCAAAAATGCTATTTCATGTCATTACCAGTCTCTTCCAAGAACAAGACCAAAGGAAACAAGTTGAGAAGAAAGGGATTTTGAAAAAGAAAAACGAAAAGAATATGAAATATAAGAAGGAACGACGGAGAGTCCTTTTTTTTATTATTATTTTCAAATACATGGCGTTGACAAATTACTTCACGCATCGTTACGACATGTCAATTTAAGTAGAAACGTCAAACATGCCACTTCAGAAAACGACGTGCCGTTTATAAAGGTAACAAGAATAAAATAGCACGTCTGTTACTATAGATGCAATAACATGCAGTTTTACGCAAATAAGAAACATGTCGTTTTATCAGAAGGAAAATGATAAGTTGTTTGTGTCCCGTATCGTTTATGTGTCTTCACAACTAGAGGTAGAACGATATATCGTTTTCACTCAACTAGGAAACGTCATGTCGTTTATTCAAAGGGCATGCTGTATGCATTTGTTTCCTTCACAGAAATAACACATGGATGTTTGGCGTGTCGTCTATCTTCAGATTGTCAAAGTACCGTTTTAATTAGGATTAATTACAAAAATTTCCCTTAAAGTATACTCTTGTAACACTTTATCTTTTAATCTTTAAACACTTTATCTTTTAATCTTTAAAATATAACATCTGTTCTCTCTGAATAATGAAATGTTAAAAAAAAATAAGTTTTCCTAATGAAAATTGACATTTGAGGGTATTTTAGCAGCTTTATTATAAAATTTAGTTTGAATTTAAAATTAATTTAAATTTAAACTTTTAATTATGATACATCCATTATTGATTGAATGTAAGTTAAAAATTTTATCAATCTTTTTTGGTAGAATAAAAAAATTATGAAGTTTTTTTAATATTTAAGTTAGTTTAAATTCAAATTAAATTTTAAACCATAGAGTTACTAAAATACACTCAAAATAGTAAATTAAATGTCAATTTCAGTTAAAAACCTAACGGATGAGGTTTTTTTGTTAACATTTTATTATTCTGAGGAACAGATGTTACATTTTAAAAATTAAAAGACAAAGTATTACCAAAGGCATAATTCAAAAGAATTTTTATAAATAATCCTTTTGATTATCCCAAGGAGGCAGGAACACAATTAAGTTCTAACAAATTAGCAATTACTGTTTTTTTTTTTTTTTTTTGGATTAAGACACTCAGCCTCAAAGAATTGTCAGTCAATTATTTATTGGATGTTTATTTTAAACGTTTGTCTTTAATTTTGAATCATGATTTTTAATTTTTTATAATATTTTTCTCTCATAAAAAATTTAAATTTTAAAAATTAAAATCATAAATTATGATTTTAAATCAATGAATTAAACGTCCTATTAAATTCAAAAAGGGGTAAATTATCAAAAATAAATAAAAGAAAAAATAATAGGTGACGTAATCAATGACTGAACAAAAAAAGAATGATTAATGAAGTAATCAATGAGCAAATAAGACTTAGGAAAGCAGCATCAGTCAAATGCCTTTTGTTTACTCGTCTCGCAAGATCTGGACCTTACACGCCTTCCTCGTTCTTCCTTATAAATATATGTGTATGTACTCTACAAAGAGTCCTGTTTCTGTAGAAATTAATTAAAACAAGAGGTAAGAAATATTGCAGGCTAAAAAGCATAAGAATGGCCGCGGAGCAGATTCATATTCCAAGAGTGAAACTGGGAAACCAGGGATTTGAGGTGAACCCCTAGAATTTTGTTGATTTCATTACCCCCAAAGAAAAATCTGATTTTCATTTGTTAGATTAAAGTTGTCAGAACTTGTATTGTGCTCTGCAACTCAAGATCTTGTTCTTTTCTTTTCCATTCAATTTTCACAACATGAACGTCAGGTAAAATCCCAGTTCATGTTTCTAACCTATTAATTGCAATGAAATGCCCACTTGATATGAATAAAAGTAGATGCTTTGTTTTTGGTCCACTATGTTTTGTGCTATTTATGCCTGTGTTTGGTGCGCGTTTGATAAACGAAATTAGATAGAATTATTCTTTAGGAATAAACGAGATTAATATACTTGATAATGTCTTTTGCAATTATACTTCCTATGAAAGTCTTAACATAATATCTCGTGTACATTAACTTTCTTTTCTTTTCTTTTCTTTTCTTTTCTTTTCTTTTTGCTGAAAGTATGATAATAATAACAACTTGTATTACAGGTTTCGAAGCTTGGGTTTGGTTGCATGGGGCTTAGTGGAGTCTATAATGCACCTGTGCCTGAAGAAGTTGGCATATCAATCATCAAACACGCATTCAACAAAGGAATAACTTTCTTTGATACCTCAGACATTTACGGACCACATACTAATGAAGTTTTGGTCGGAAAGGTAATTAATTGTGCTTCCCCCAAATTTTCTTCTTGTTGGTGAAATATGGCGTGTTTAAAAGGGACTTAGTTTTTATTTGTGTGTCTTCTCCAGGCACTGAGGGAATTGCCTCGAGATAAGATTCAGTTAGCCACAAAATTTGGTGTAGTCAAAATAGGGACTGATGAAGTTGAGGTGAATGGAACCCCTGAATATGTCCGGTCTTGTTGTGAAGCAAGCCTGAAACGCCTCAATGTGGACTACATCGACCTCTATTACCAGCACAGAGTGGACACAACAGTCCCTATAGAGGACACTGTGAGTGTCGCAAATTGCGGTCCTTTCGGAGAGACCGTAGCAATATGTTATGCTTTGTTGTTTTCATTTTTCTTTCGAATACTTCCGTAGTTTTGTTATAGAGGTAACACTTACTATTATTGTATATGCTAGATTGGGGAACTGAAGAAATTGGTGGAAGAAGGAAAAGTAAAGTACATTGGGCTATCTGAGGCTAACGCAGACACAATAAGGAGAGCACATGCAGTTCATCCCATCACTGCTCTACAAATGGAGTGGTCTCTTTGGACTCGTGACATTGAGGAAGAAATCGTCCCGCTTTGCCGGTAATCTCAAGATTTTTAGAACAAAAGTGTCGAAAAGAAAGAGTACAAAACTTTGGTCTCATTCGCTTCGCGGATTCGAGTTTTTAATTCGAGTTGAGATGTGATATTTTCGGAGAATTTTTAACTATAGCAGAAAAAGTTAGATATGACATTTTCTGAGAGTTTTTAACTGTAGAAACTTAAAATTGAAAACTCGAATCGATAAAATAAACGAGACCTTTGGTTTTTAAACCATACATTTAGTTCACAACTATCAAATTAATTTCATGTATTTTAAATTACATTAAATGTTAATTAATTTACAGGGAACTTGGAATAGGGATAGTCCCATATAGCCCTCTTGGCCGCGGATTTTTTGGTGGCAGAGCAGTTGTTGAGGGTGTGCCTGCAAATAGTTTCCTGGTAAGGCACTCGAATTATGTTAATTATAAGTAAGCAATATATAAAGATCAAACTGATTTTATTACATTTTATTTTTGTTTTCGTTAATATAGGAAATAAATCCTCGGTTTCGAGGGGAAAATTTAGAGAAAAACAAGATTTTGTATACTGAACTGGAGAAGTTGGCTGGAAAACATGGATGCACCCCTGCACAACTTGCACTTGCGTGGGTTCTCCATCAAGGAGATGACGTGGCACCTATACCTGGTAAGTAAGATTATCACATTTTATCACTAAAAAATGTTTGGAAGCACCACCGGGCTAAGTATAGTCACCAATAGAATGTAGGCTCCACATGCAGGTTCCATATTGTAGGACTCACCTTTTATTAATAGTCAGTGAGCAGTGTTTAACACCACCATCGTCATATAACATTATTCTTTTATTACCATTAGAAAACCAGTTTTTTTTATTTGTTTTTATTATCTTATTTGCTCGTCCAAACTGATTCTGCTACTTAAAATGATGTTCTGATTTTTGCCATTGTAGGGACAACTAAGACTAAAAATCTTGATGATAACGTTGGTGCGTTCAAAGTGAAGCTAAACAATGAAGATGTGAAGAAGATCTGTGACTTGGTACTAATCAACGAGGTGGCGGGAGAAAGAATTCATGATGTCTTCATTCGATGCTCATGGAAGTTCGCAAACACACCACCTAAGAAGTAAGAATGGCGATGGAAAATTACCTTATTGTATTGTGGTGTTCATCAAATACCACTCAGCTACTACAGCAGAGTCACCAAGTGTTTTCTGGTTAGATTTCAGAAGAACTTTTGTAATAAAGAATGGTGACTTGTAAGTGTCCTTTGTGTATGATAATGAATAATGACTGATGTTTAGTTCGCAGCCAGAAGTGGCTTCTTGGCATGGTTTTGAATTATGTTTTTGATAGGCACAGCGACCGTAGTTGTGATTACTCCCAACGTCCTGCGGCCAAGCCTTCATCAAATTTACCAGATTTTGTATGAGATCTTTTTTTCCTAAGCAAACAAGAAGAATAAGAAGAATGCAATAGCATTACTTTTTTTTTTTTTTTTGAAGGGAAATTACATTCAAAATAAAACAGTGATACAAGTGCCAAGATACAATGTGAATAACCCAGTAATCAAAGACTTAACTCTAAAGTTCTCTACTGAGTCCGGTTCTATCAATATAATCTAATAACGTTTTAAAAAAAAGACATGTTTGAGGCCCCAATATGAGAAAGTACCTTGACACATCAAGATCGATCATAAATAAGCTTTTTTTTTTACAAAACCTCTATAATCGATATAAGCTTCCGATTGAGATCCATATCTCCATAGCATAAAGACCAACATACACCGCCAAGATAAATATCTAATAGACAACCTAATACTAACCCGTTTGTATCTCTGATTCGAGTTAAAGAATAATTATATGATACTATAACATTAAAAGTTGAATTTTAAATTTTAGTGAGAGCAAACACTAATAAAAAGTTTAAATTGTAATGCGAACAGTGAAACGAACGAGAAACAATGTAAACAAACCAACAAGGCGAGGTAAACACCGTTATACAATAACAAAGACATGCAACACTAAAAAATAATAAGGTAACTTGAATTGGACATTTCAAATGTAATTTGTAAACGGTCCACCTCAATATGAGTGTGTGTTAGATGGTAAAAATCATCTCTTCCTTCCCTCAAATAACAAAGAAAAAAAAAAAACCATCTATTTCGTGATTCGGAACTGCATTTCATTGTCAACAATGTTAGATATGTAGATTATTTTGAGAAAGGGTTTTTGTTTTTCTTTGTTTCTTGGGTATGATAATAGAGAGAATAATGAACAATACTGTAAGATACCTACTAATAAAAAGTCGGTCATACAAATAGGATTCACAAATCGAAGTGGTGTTTCTTGCTAATTTATAATAGATTATTCGCAATTAGACGGAAATAACGTTAAGCACCAGTGGTCTAGTGGTAGAATAGTACCCTGCCACGGTACAGACCCGGGTTCGATTCCCGGCTGGTGCACACTGTTTCAATTTTATTTTTAGCGTAATATCTCTTTTCTGAAACCAATTATTTTTCCATTAAAAAATAAAAAAATCTCTGGTACGGTGTATGGTAAGTTAGGTTATTCTAATTGCATCTGCGTACCGCCAGATTGACGTAACATACTCCAAATTCCAACCGTTAAGCTGGGCAATCAAGGACTAACGGTAAAATCCCATTTCATTTTCTTTCATCAAACTTCACCCTCGTCTGTGTTTTATGCGTGTTTGTCTGAAAACTCAACAAACAATTCATCATTTTTTTTTTTTTTTGGGTAAAAAAACCCCCGAAAACTGTTATCTTTTTTTTTTTTTTTTGGCATTTTTCTCTGGTTTCATCTGTAAACTTTCCCACTTTTACTCTTCAGGTGTCGAAGCTGGGATTTGGGTGTATGGGTGTCTCTGAAGAGGAAGGGATCTCGATCATAAAGTACGCATTCAATAAGGGAGTCACTTTCTTTGACACAGCCGATGTTTATGGAGCTCATTCTAATGAAGTCCTAGTTGGAAATGTATTTGTTTCTTCTTTTTTTTTTTTTCGTTTTCTCTTTGTTATACCATTTTTCAAAGACTTTGAACTGATATTTATCACTAAATGGGCATTAGCAGATACAAATTTTCTTACTGTTACTAAAATCTTTTACCATGTTCTTTTGGTGTTATAAGTTGTATTTTTAAAGGTGTTGAAGGTCCTAGAGTGATGAAATTGGTTGTTTTATGAATCTGTAATGTTTAGGCCTTAAAGCAGCTTCCGAGAGAAAAAGTTCAATTAGCCACAAAGTGTGGTATAGCAGGAATTGGTCTTGATTCCCAAATGTTAGTGAAGGGTACTCCGGAGTATGTTCGGTCATGCTGCGAGGATAGTCTTAAGCGTCTTGATGTGGACTATATTGATTTGAATTATCAGTACAGGATTGATACATCACTGCCTGTAGAAGTATTGGGGAGACACCATATGCAAAACTGGCCCAATACACTTCAAGAAAAGAAACTATTAGTGATTCTCTTCTGAATATGAAATGAGTTTTTACATAACACACTCTTCAGTATTATATTTCTTATGTTTTGGACTGTAGATGGGTGAGCTTAAGAAGCTTGTGGAAGAGGGGAAAATTAACTACATTGACCTATCAGAAGCCAGCGCGAACACCATAAGAAGGGCACATGCTGTTCCTTTCATCACGGCTTTGCAAATGGACTGGTCTCTGTGGACTCGTGACATCGAGGAAGAGATCGTTCCACTTTGCAGGTTCTTGTTCAAATTCCCGAGTTTTCTTATCATATTTACCTATTGGTTGTTCCTTGGTTTTGTTCTATTTTCCATTGATTGTTTTGTTTGGACTTGTAAGAGTGTTACATTGATTCCTTAACGTATATAGGGAGCAAGGCATTGGAATAGTTCCATATAGTCCTCTTGGTCGTGATTTCGTTGGTGGGAAAGCAGTCCTGGAAAGTTTACCAGCTAATAGCTTTCTGGTAAAAGATTATCTGTTGTCTGTTTTGATACAAAGTTTTGCCTGTACTATTCCAATTATATGAGTTGTTTGGTTTGATATTTGTGTCCTTTTGGATGAACTATTTGGTTGAAAGATTTTCCCTTTCTTCACATGGTTATTAAGTTTGTTGATTTGTTGTTATTGTTTCGTTCTTAAGGCCTCACACCCTCGGTTCCGAGGAGAGAATTTGAATACGAACAAGCAATTTTATGATCAAATCGAAAGCGCCTTTCTAGAAAACACCGGTGTTCTCCTGCTCAACTAGCACTAGCATGGGTTCTCCAACAAGGAGATGATGTTGTCCCTATCCCCGGTGAGTGTTTTCGGCATTTGTCGATTTTTGTTGAACCATGCATAGATATTTTTCTAATGGTGAGTATTAAGAATTCATCATGTTACACAGATTATCCAACTAAACTTCTCCGTTCATTTGCTTTGACTTTCTTTAGGGACAACTAAAATTAAGAACTTAGATGATAACATTGGATCAGTGAGGGTGAAGGTAACAGAGGAGGAGCTGAAAGAAATATCTGATGCTGTTCCAATTGAAGATGTGGCAAGTGATAGAACTGAGAGCATGGTTAAAGCCTCTTGTAAGTTTGCCAACACTCCTCCGAAAGATTCCACAGTATCTACATAAGACAACAGTGGCATTTCACTCTCACTTGGATGATATGACGGTGGAAAAATGAGGCATCTAAAAAAAAACAAAAAACTTTTTGTTGTGTTATTTGATTGCCATAAACTTTGATTAATTCTAATAAATCATGCCTAGTTGTCCCACGGCTGTGTTGCCAAAATTCAACTAAACTTATAATTAATGAAAGTTCTTCTAGCCTAATTGTGTTATATGTTATGTGAGTTTTTCATATATATAAGAATGAGTGCATCAGCATAAAATTCTTGAATGGAAATGAAATAAATTGTTCTGTATAGTTGAAAAAAGATTTGAGCATGGTATTTATTTCATTTCCGGCAAAGATTGAAATGTGAACAAAACAAAATTAAATAGAATATAGTTGGTTCTCTTTTAATTGATTTTGGCAGAGAGAACAAGGAAAGCTTTTTGTAATTTTCTTAATGTAAAGTTGTTTTTTCACATTGTGCCATTCACACGCCTCGTTGCTAACTTACCAATGCTTCTGCTCCAAAGACTAATTGTACCCAAAATATTGCACATTTGAAATTGTTATATCCTCTTTTAATATAGATATAGAATAAGATAATAAGAATATAATACGTTCGCATTTACCTCATCAACATAGACGTACAAAATTATTTTCTAAATGTATTTGAATAAATCATTTCATTTCCAGCAACGGAGAAAATGAAGCTCCCTTGCGACCGGCCTGGCATTGAGTATTCATAATTAGCTGATTCTGATAAGACAAAATAGAAAGTTTATATAAAAATATAATATTCAATAATATTTCCTTCTTGTCCCGGTGCACACTTTTTTTATCCCACCACCTGATGATTATAGCATTGTCATTGTCGCTGCATTTCTTTTTCTACACCATCAACAAGTTTTATTATTATTATTATTTGTGTGATAAATAACCTGCAACGGCGTTGACTTATATTCTATACAAACTTCAAGTCTTCAACATCCAGTCTCACTCCAATACCCTTTAACCTTAGAAAGATGGCTGATGCTGATAACAAACTCCAAATTCCAATTGTTAAACTGGGCAATCAAGGACTTAAGGTATATATCTTCATTTCTATTATATTCTAGTTTTGTTCATTTTTTTTTTCCCATTTACCTTAAACTCTACCTTGTGTTCATGAAAGAACCTGTAAAGTTATCTGTAAATTTTTCAACTGTAATTATTCAGGTGTCAAAGCTGGGATTTGGATGCATGGGTTTGACTGGGGTCTACAACGCTCCTGTCTCTGAAGACGAAGGGATCGCCATAATAAAACATGCCTTCAGTAAGGGAATTACTTTCTTTGACACCGCCGATATGTATGGACCTCATTCTTGTGAAGTTCTACTTGGAAAGGTTTGTGTTTTCACTTTGTGGATGCATAATAACAAAAGTAAATAACACCAGTAAGATACTGTTGAAACGTCGGAATCGGATCAATTAATCATATTAAGAAAAGTATTACAGTTTACAGAACTTTATCAAAATGTAACGGTTTCGTTGCGTGTCTATCTATAGAGCCGGAGAATTCTACAACAACTAACATAGGAACCTCATTCTCGCTACTGAAATATTTTTCTTTTCGTATATGTTATGTTATTATGCATTTATTGAAAGTGTGATTTTTTTTTTTTAAATGTTTGTGTATTGACTAGGCCTTAAAGCAGTTGCCAAGAGAAAAAGTCCAAGTGGCAACAAAGTTTGGTATAGTAGGAATCGGTCCTGATCACCGTATAATTGTGAAGGGTACCCCTGCGTATGTAAGGTCATGCTGTGAGGCTAGTCTCAAGCGTCTTGATGTGGACTATATTGACTTGTATTATCAGCACAGGGTTGATACTTCAGTGCCCATAGAGGAAACCGTAAGTCATTCAGTCCGGTTCATTTTACCGATTCAAATTTAAAATTTAAATTTTATTACGGTAAAAAATTCTTAGAAACAATCACGTTTTTTTTTACAATAAAAAGCTCTTACATGAAGTCACATCTCAACTCGAATTAAAAACTCGAATCAGCGAATTAAACGGGCCCATACTTTTTTTACTATTTTTCAAATGCAAACTTGAAAAGGAAAGACATTCTTTACATAACACCCTCGTAATAATTTGGACCATATTCATTTTACTGATTCAAGTTTTGTTACAGTAAAAAATTCTCAGAAACAGTCACATTTAATTTTTTTTTTTTGTTACAGTAAAAAATTCTCACATAAAATCACATCTCAACTTAAATTAAAAACTCGAATCGGCGAACTAAACGATCCCTAGATTACTTGTGCGAACACGAAAAAAATTAGATTACTTGTGTTTTGGATTATAGATGGGTGAGCTTAAGAAGCTTGTGGAAGAAGGAAAAATTAAGTATATTGGCCTCTCTGAACCCAGCCCGGATACCATAAGAAGAGCGCATGCAGTTCATCCCATCACGGCTTTGCAAATGGAGTGGTCTCTTTGGAGTCGTGATATTGAGGAAGAGATTGTTCCACTTTGCAGGTTTTTGTTCATACTCCAAAAGTTTCTTTTTCTCCTTCAATCTTTAAACCTCGGTATTAGAGACAATGACTACCAAACCACGTTAACAATAGCCTAACGGTAAATTCACATCCTTGTCTTTATTTATTTATTTATTTATTTTTGTACCGTTAGACTATTGTTAACGTGGTTTGGTAGTTTTAATTTTTGTTGGTATTTTTTATTATTAAACTGATAGTGTGACATGATACACGAACACATGTAGGGAGCTAGGAATTGGAATAGTTCCTTATGGTCCTCTTGGTGGTGGTTTCTTCGGTGGAAAAATGGTCGTTGAAAGTATTTCGGAGAATAGTCTTTTGGTAATAAGAAAAATGTTGCAAGAACTATTTATCTTTGGATCCCAAAAAAAAAAAAAAAAAATGAAACCATATTTTGAACCTTAGTTTAATATCTATGTCCTACTAAGATTTTGTTTTTTCCCCTCCCCTGAAGGCTTCACATCCCCGAGTCCGAGGAGAGAATTTGAGCAAGAACAAGCCTATTTATGATAGAATCGAAATCCTTGCTAGAAAGCACCATATTTCTCCTGCTCAACTCGCACTTGCTTGGGTACTCCAACAAGGCGATGATGTCGTGCCTATTCCTGGTTAGTGTTTTGATCTTTTCATTAAAAACTAATACAAAATTTTATGGTTGAGGATTATCCAAATCAATGTTATTTTTTAACGTAATCTGCTCATTTGTTTTTACTTTGTCTAGGGACGACTAAGATTAAGAACTTGGATAGTAACATTGACGCAGTAAGGGTGAACCTAACAAAGGAGGACCTAAAAGAAGTTTGTGATGCTGTACCAATTGAGGAAGTTGTGGGTGATAGAACTTATGAGATGGTAAGTCACTCGTCGTGGAGGTTTGCCAATACTCCAAAACATTCTAACTAAGAAAGCGGCACTACCAATTCCACTTGGATGATTTTTTTTTTTTTTTTTTTCCAAAACATTCTAACTAAGAAAGCGGCGCTACCAATTCCACTTGGATGATTTTTTTTTTTTTTTTTTTGGGGCCTTGAGACCTAATTTCTTCAAATTGTGGGTTTGTTTGGAAATTCTCATATATTTTATCCTTGAAATGGATTTTAGCATTATCAAATGTTTAATTATTTTTCTTAATCCGATTTAATTTTTAAACAACCATCCACGTCACTAACTCTTATTTTGGGGCGTGACGAGACTTGGTATCGCATCACTCTTCTTGAAACCTAATTTCTTCAAATTATGGGATTTGTTTAGAAATTATCAGATATTTTATCCTTGAAATTGATTTTAGGATTATCAAATGTTTAATTATTTTTTTAATCTGATTTAATTTCTAAATAAGCTTCCACGTAACTCTTATTTTAGGACGTGGGGGGTTTGGAAAGGAACATTCATGATTCAAATTTTGGTAACTTTGGAAATTGGAATTGTTTTTTAAAATAAAAGTTTGAAATAAAATGATTGCTTGGTTTCAGAATTGAGATATTGCTAATTAAGCTATTAGTATTTTAACTAGTTAACTTCTACAATTTCATTGAAAGAAACATGCTAGCCAAAATACACACATTAGTAGAGACCTATTTTATATCACCTCCTTAAACGGTGGCAAATAGGGGTGTAAATCGGCCGGGTAGGGTAGGGTTGAGCTGAATAATTGAGCCTACCCGACCAGTGCGGGTTGAGAAAATTTTGGGCCGCGACACTCTCTTAAGTCTACAAACCCGCAACCTTTCGGGTGACCTCGGGTAGGGTCGAGTTACTCAGGTTGGTGATCTCAAGGACCACATGATCACTTTTTAGTTAATTAATTTGTGCTTGTTACGTAAGAAATCATTATCAAACATAACATGTCTTTCCTTCAAGAGGGGGTATAAATGCAAGGTGAACAATTAAAACACGCACTTTGAAATCAAACACTTCCAATGTAAATAAAGAATGTCCTAATTCAACAACTATGGCATACAAGCATTTTTTACACAAATTGTGAATCCAAAACATAAATAAGTTAACAGTTTAAATGCATAAAGTCCATAAACTTATGAAAGTAAGAATTTGAAGTGTTGGACATTGTTTTACCTACTTTGAACATGTTCGGCCGAGTAGGGTTACCTCGGGTTCATATAACCCCACCCTGCGCCCCTACCAGCGCAGTACGGGTTAGGCATAATTAAAACTAAAAATTAAATAAAAAATTGTAAACCCATAATTTTTTAGTAAGGTCGGCTCGGTTCAGCCGGATTCATCGGGTTCGGGGTGATTTCTTACAACCCTAGTTGCAAAGTAAGAGAAGAAGGAAACAAGCTAGTATCTCACACTTCCACTTAAGAGAAATGTTGGGTCTAGGCCCAATATTGCTTCGTCCTTAGACAACTCAGCCAACTCCTTCTCCGGTAACGTCACCGTCACCGCCCTAGCCAGTCCTCCTTCCGGTGAAGGCATCACCAAGATCAACCCTTCACCTTCCACGCTCCTCACGTGATACGACACGTGGATGGGCTCGGCCTCCTCACCAAATCCAGCCTCATACGTCAACGGTCCACTTGGGCCGATCATGTGGTCCATTCTGATACAAGTTAGCTCAGGCCCATACATCCTAAATGGTGGGCCATACTTCCCTCCCTCTCCCTTCCTCGATTCTAGCCAATCAATAGACGATCGAATCCACTCTTCATCGATGCTCTCCACGTGGCAATGGACTTCTCTAACCACGTGTCCCAGCCCACAGCCGTCTACTTGTTCCAAAGACAGTAACGAAAAATGCAAGGCGTTGCCGTAGTAGCCAAGCGGCACCGGTTTTCCATTTTCCTTCGACACCATCCTGGCGTCCGTACAGACCGAGAGTGAGTGGCTGTAGTCATTTCCCTCCGCCTTCACTTTCAGGCGCGCGACACGTGTCCAGAAGAGTGCCGCTAGCAAGTCGAAGGGAGTGGCGCTAGTGCAATTCTCGGAGATTTCCATGAGGCGCCGCTTGATGGCGGCGTGGGAGAATTTGAAGGTGGCCGTAGCCATTTTTTCAGATGGCGGCGCGCGTGCGGCGGACTTGGCGGCGTAGTAAGCGGCCGAGCTGGTTTCGGTGTTTGGGTCGGGTCTGGCTTGGATAACGGACCTGGAGAACACGGGCGGGTGGACGACGGATCGGGATCGGTGTGTGTCGATCCAGGACTTGTAGAGTAGGGTCGCGCAGGTTGGGTCTGCATGCATGTGAGTGCAGCTTAACCCAATGGCTACTCCTCCACCTTCGAATTCATTTACCTGCAAATGTAAGATATTAATATCGGAGTCACGAAAATATGTAAATTTTAGAAGATTTAGGCCACGTTCGACAAATCACAATTTAAATTTTTACTAAAGTATATTATCTCATAAAAATTTAATTTTTTTTATACATTTTCTCTCACATCAATTTATTTTTAACTCAAAGTTTTAACTTACTATACATCTTAAAATAGAGGAAAATATGAAATTACCATTCGATTATTGTTGCAACCATTAGCTGATATAACTTCTTAGGATCGTCATTTCAATTTAAAGAAAATACATCATTTTAGAAATATAGTAGTGTGCATCCGGATAATGCAAGTTTCTGAAAATCACATCAAAAAAAAAAAAAAATTTCCTTATAAAGAAATATATTATAGTCTAAGTTACAATAGTGTTGAATAATGGGTCCCATGTTATTTGCGCTTTCCGTCCACCATCTGCAAGCAGGAGTGCCGCAAGATTTGGGTGAAATATATATATAGAGACATCTGGCAAGTTGGCACCATAATTTCTGTGCATAAATTAAGGAGAGTTGCAGGACATGTCCCAACTACCAAGTGGAATTAATGTAGATGTAGATGCATATTATTGGTTGCGCTTAAACTTGTCCCCATGAAAAACTCGTTTTTTTCAACAAGTAATATTAATAAATTGAAGGGATATACTCAAATAAATAAATAAATATTGACGCTACAGAATTACCTTTCATTTTCTATATCTCAAACTTTAATCGTTTGATGAGGATTTAAATAACGTGGACAGCTAATATATATATTTTGTTTTGGGCGAAGAAAAAGCTCTTATGTAAAAGTCAGGGAAAAAGATCATGCACTAGATTTGTCATCGTGATACAATGAATGAAACCATGTATTGTCCATGTCAAGTTCTCTTGATAGGTACTAGGTAGAAGTGCTATCAATTTCAGTAACACGAATAAAGTGGAATTAATGAAAGTTGCCTTGGTCGAAAGCACACAATAAATGGTAACTTTGGATAATAAGAAATTCTTCTTTTTTTTTTCCTTTCTTTTCCCTCATTGTTCGTCTTTTTTTTTTTTTTTTTTTTTTTCCCCTTTTTTTTCTTTTTTTTTTTTTTTTTTTTCTTTCTACTATACGACATCTCTAATGCATATATATATCGAATTAATGCATCATGTCAAAAGTTAGTATTTTGCCCCAAAAAAAAATATTTAACGCATTTTTAGTTTTCGTACTAAGTTTGATATATACTATATTAGGTGCATATTAAATTTGGCATCAAGTATACATGTTAAATTTTGACATTTGGTTACTGTTGATTAACGTGTTGAATTTTTCATTTATTAATTAAAGAATTGCATTTTTCGTATTATTCTAAAATTAAAATTTTATCAAGTCAAAAAAACTAAATTTTTATTTGAAATAAGATTATGCATTTGAGCACCAAATAAAACAACATACCAAATGTCATTTTAACTTTTTGTTAATAAAAAAAATAGCACAGTTATTAACATATTTACATCGTATACAGTCTAAGTGATGATTCATAACCATTTTTCGTTTTACGTGTGTTTTTGGTGAGAGAAAAACACTGTAGAGAACCATAAATCATGATTCAGAATCAGAGACGAATACAGAAAACAAACGTCGCCTAATATTTTTAGAGTTTTTTTTTTTTTCCTTTGAGTTTTTAAAGAAGCTTGCTTCACTTTTTTCATAACCACCCCATCCAAATTCTAGGGCGGAAATGAAACTTCTCTGATCTCTCAAATTCTTTCTATACAAATAAGTAGATAGACTCATGTTTCCTAATTGAGAGATCTCTCCTATTAATTTGGGAAATGAACATGCCTGCCTACATTTTGTTTTTGTTTGAAAATAAAGGCGCAGAAAAACTTATTTAAAAGATAAAAAAAAAATTCCAAAACACAGCACTTTACTCCCCGAAATAGTGAATGGAGTCATAAAACCCCATTACGGCATTGACATATTTTCCCACAATAAATAGCTGAATATATGAAGCCAATATTTGGAACGTCAAACTTTAAAATCCAGTCGCTTTAATACCCAGTTATATATTTGGCCTAAAAAAAAACGATTTGTTCACAATAGATCCAAAACCAGCCAAATAAAAGTAGAATATATTTCTTAAAAAAAAAAAAAAAAAAAGTCGAAGAATGTATCAACATTTCATACCTGGATCCTAAAAGGTGACCAGTTAATCGGGTCCTCCGGCATGTCATCCCATACCGCCAGATCCTTTTCCTCAACCCCGTCAGCCGATCTCAGCCACTCATCAAGCGTGGTCCCCACACTGGCCCTCACAATCCTAACACCCGCGTCGTTGCAATTCACTTCCCAATTGCCATCACCGTTCCGGACGATCCGACCCGTAACCGGCGGGTACAGAGAAAGAGCGTCCGAGAGAGACACCCTTGACGGGTCCAAGTCAAAGTCCTTGAAAATATTAGCCTTGTAGTAAAAGACTACGTGCAGGCTGTGGAGGCCCATGGCGTGATCCAGCGCCGTAAACGGGTGGGCCTTGCCCGGGCCGACAGGCCTGCTGGATACCGTCGTCAGCTTTGAGTGGATATTGACCCGACTTTTTCTCTCCAACATTGTCATGGATTTTATATAACTAAAAAAAGAAAAAGAGTGTGACTATGTAAAGACAATTTTAGAGAGAGAATAAAAGAGATTATTTTGGAGATGTAGAGATGGAGAGAAAATGCAATAAACTGCATGGGGATATATAGGAAGAGATGAAGAAGTAGGAAGCTTTGTGAATGGGGAGGTAGTTAAACGACATTAATTAAGGGGAAGGTTGTCGAACATTAAAGAGGGAATCTGGTATTTGTTGAGTTCATTTATGGCTCTGGCTTGACGAGAAAGTCTTATCTTTTATTTCGTCTCTTTCATTTTCTTCTCGGTCGTGTTGCTTATACGAAACTTAGAACCCGTTTGGTTGGAGAATTCGTTCCTTGATTTGAATTATAATTTATGGTTCGTCATAATATTTTTTCTCATAAAAAACACACATAAATTAAAAATAATTCTAATCTCGTAATTCTAATCTATGAACTAAATATGCTCAGACTAGTGTATCGTTATCTACTATAATAATAAACGAATAATGTTTTACCACCCACTAATAAAAATGGCCCACCCATTTTATTAGTGATGTACCATCAACATTTTTGGTAATAAAAGGAAAGAAAATTGATAGTGTGTTCTTCATTGGTAATCACGGAACAAAATATGATAGTTTCTGGCTTTTGTGAGACTATTTTTAATGTAAATGTTAATATTAATTGTATATTTAACGTTAAAAGTATGATATAGTATATTATTTTTATTTTTATTTTAATGCATAATGCTATTTAAAATGTTAAATTTATTTTTTTTTATAATTATAAAGTTTTAAAAGTTGTAAAAATAAATTTTATTTTTAAAATAACTAAAAAGTGCAAAAATTACGTTGATTACGTGAAAAAAGTAAATATTTTAACAAATAGTAATCAAATGTTAAATTTCGTATGCATTATATTTGGTGAGAAATTTATTACAAAATATAACGTATAAAAAATTTAGTACAACAAATGAAATATTTTTTTGCATTCAAAGGTTAAATTTATAATTAATACATTAATTATAACATTGTATTAGACGTGCTATTAATTGTTTGCTAATTCCTCTTTCTATTAACTCTAACCAATTTGAGATTTGACCCTCTTTAATATTGGTACAAATAGTTTATTTATTTTGCCATACCTAACAACAATCAACTCCTTAAAAAAAGGCTATAATCAATGTGAGATTTGACCCCCAGAATTCAAGTATAGTATTAAAGAGACTTCAGTAAACTAATTGACAATTAACGTTTTCTTTATTTAAAAAAAAGGGGGGGGGGGGGGGGGGGGGGGGTTTGTCTTTGGGGGGGAATTGTCGTCATTTTTATTTTCCTTTTCTGGTTTTAATATTGGTAACTTCGTGACCTCTTCAAGTCTTCAAGTTAAAATATGGAGTTATACATAACTACGTCAATTTAGAGTATCTCTAATGCAATGTTATAATTAATGTGTTAATTAGTGTAAAAAATACACTAATGCAATACTATTTGTTGTGCTAAAATTCTTATGTACTATACTTTGTGATAAATTTCTCATTAAATATAAATTTGACATTTGATTGCTATGTGTTGAAATATATTTTTTTTTATGTAATCATTGTAACTTTTACATTTTCTAATTATGAAGTTTTTGCAGTAGTTCATCCTAATGGTGGTCTCAGTTTTTGACCGTTAGATATGGTTAAAATCACATCAAATTAAAAAAGCATACAAAACAGACTGATTTTAATACATATTTGACGATTAAAAAGTAAAGATCCACTGATAGTCTATTTTTATAGAGACTATCAGAAAAAGTCCCTTCTAATTATTCTAAAAATAAAATGTTACTTTTATAACTTTCAAAACTTAATAATTATAAAAAAATTAAATTAGCATTTCAATTTATCTATTGAAGAAAAATAAAAATATAAAAATATAAAAATAACATATCAATGCTAAATATATTGAATTAACATTTGCATAATTCATTCAAAGCTTAATGATTATAAAAAAGTTAAATTAGCATTTCAATTTATCTACTGAAGAAAAATAAAAATATAAAAATGACATATTAATGCTAAATATACTGAATTAACATTTGCAAATACAATTGAATTAGCATGAATTAACATTTAGAAAGCAATAAATCTATGTAATGTTATAATTAGTGTCGTGGCAATTGGCATGCAATTTTCTAATTAAGCAGTTAAACGATAGAATCTTAACACAATTATCAACCTATTAAAATAATAAAATCTAATGTTTTGTTTTGTGCAAATTTTCACATTCATACCAAAGACATATGATTATTATGGCATATAATCATTTATTGTTCTCATTTTTCATTATGAGGTCATTTGCTTATATATGGCTTCAAGCCTCATCCTCATTTGCTTACTAACCGATGTGGGACAAAACTTTTTTTTTTTTTTTTTATTTTGCCAAAAACTTATGACATGTTTGGAACTCGTTTTAAAATGATTTTATTTTTTTGTATGAAAATAAAAATGTAAACGTTTTCAATCTCAGACAGAAATCATTTTTAAAAATGCATTTAGTAATTTTATCAAGAAATTATTTTCAGTATAAAAAAACATATTACTGTCTCTCTCTTTTTCTCTCTACTCGAGAGAGGACAAAACGAAAACAAAAAATAAAAAATGACTGAAAGTCATTTTTCATTTATCTCTTATTTTACACTAAACAAAAAAATCGTTTTCATTTTCGTATTTTATTTTTATTGCGTCAAACGCCGTTTTAAAAACGTTTTCATTTTTTCTTTATCAAAAAACGTAAAAAAATAAAAACAAAATTAATTCCAAACACGATCTTAACATCCTCCACCTTTGGTAAAATGAAAATACTTCTGCCACGACTAGTGTTTTTACCAACAACCAAAACTCTCAAGCCAAATAATTATCATACTTCAGCATAGAGTATACCCGATTAGAATCAACCAATTCTAAGAATTTCATTTCGACAAGTGTCAAAAACCTTACCCAAAAAATATGGTGCAACTTCCACGTTCGACTTTCTCGAAAGTTCATTAGCCATCGACGTTAAATGCCACCACACACCTTCCATTAATGCCGAAACCAAAGCTTGTGTGCAAAGTCGTGGATCCTCTCGCAACAACACATCCTCTTCCATGGCAAAGCAGAGACACCGTGGGGATATGCATATCCCTTTTCAAACGACATCATCATCTCCCATGAAGAGGATAAACATGTTAGCTTCTGCGTTGGAGCTTTTTGCCGAGCTAGCTCTATCCTTCTGATAATTTTTTGTCAGGTTTAGAATGTACACGTTTTGAAGTAGAACTAAAATGGGATAACAATCATAATTTGGAGGTCATTATTATTATTATTATTGTTTTGATAAACATATGGAAATGAGAATAATTAAAATATAATCACCATCAAACTTCAGGGGCTCTGGCAAATTAAAATCTGACCAGAATAAAAATGCTCAAAGAAAAAGGAAAAATCAGCTCTTGGATTTTCTAACAATAACCACATATGAATAAATAAATAAATCAATAAACTAATAAAAGTTTCCTAAAAAAAATACCAAGAAAAGTCAAGATACTGATGAGGAACGGACATACTAAATTAAAGTATTAGATTAGATACTTAAAAAAAATCTAAAAAGGTACCATATGCTATATATATATATATATATATTTAAGAAAGGCTATTGTTACTATTTTTATCATTTTTTTTTCTTGCATTTGACACATAAACTTCACTGTATCATTTTATGTTTATTAATAATATATTATGTTAATAGAGTTTACGTGTTAAACATTAAATGTTAAAAATGACAAAGAGAGTGACAGAAAAAAATAATGCTAAAACATCTCTATATATTTTTAGAATACATAATGGGTCAGTTTGGTAGTGCTGTAGATTTTAGAAAAATTACTATTAACTGTGTTGAAAAAAAATAGTTGTTACAAAAAGTAGCTGAGTATTTAGTAAATTGTAATTATATAGATATTGATTCCAAGAGTATTATAGGTATTATGAAAGCTCGTATAATCTAAAAGCTAAAATTACATTTGAACTGCTTCTGATTTTGACGGTAAATTATTCAAAAATTATTTAAAAATCACTTCTTATAATTTTTACTAAATACAAACTTCATTCGTGTGAATGACTAAATAATTAATTTTGGGCTCTAAAAATTACTATTAAATATACCCATGCGTATATTTGCTTCTAGTAATGTGATTTTATCGTTAGTCAACATCGTTATTGTGCTTCAATTGCAAGTCTTTGGATTCTTGTCACGTGGAATAAATTTGTTATACAAATAATTCAACTGCTAGATTATGACTTAATAACACAGAAAACCCTTTGTACAAAGAGGTGGCCCCATATGATGAGACCCACTTTTGTATTTGATGAGAATAAATCCCATTAGAGTCAGAAAGCCTCATTCGTTTAGTTAAGAGATGTTTGGTTTATGAATTAAAATAATGTGATTAAAATTATTTTTAATTTATATGTATTTTTTATGAGAAAAAATATTATAACAAACATGAATCATAATTCAAATCATAATTTGAATCATCCAACCAAACATCTCCTTAATTTTGAGTCTCAATTCATATTTTCTCAAATTAAAAATTGAGCAATAGTGTCATTTACGAACAAAAAATAGTTTCCTTCGAACAAACAATCAGTCGCTTCAATTAGGAGGTAATTGGCGGTAAACAATAGTTAAGATTAAAAGTGTGTTTGATAAAAAAATTCATATTCTAATTTAAATCATAATTCATAATTTATTAAAATATTTTTTTTTAAAAAATATATATAAATTAAAAATAATTTTAATCCATAACCAAACATCTCCTAACAACGCGAAGAAAAGAACTTTTGTCTTGCTGTGTCGCAAAAGAAAAGAATTTCAATCCTTCCTTAAAAGGAAGAGAGAGAGAGAGATTTCCCCAAGAGAGAGACAGAGAGAGAGAGAGAGAGATTTCCCCAAGAGAGAGAGAGAGAGAGACATCTCAAGCAAGGGGGAAAAAAAACTAGGAACCCGTTTTCATTTTTACGTCTGACCTTCTTAAGCCCACCATTTGCTTAGCTTAGTGTAGAGAGAGAGGGGGAGGAGAGAGAGAAAATGGTGGGCCGGAAATTTCAGGTGTGCCACAATGACTCAAACTTCGACGTGGACTACGACACCGACGATGGCTTGGAAGTGAGTCTCTCTCTTCCATTTTGCTTTCTCTTTCCTGTTTTCTCCTCCTCTGGATAATTTTTTTTTTTTGCAGGTTTTCAAATTCCAGCTTTTCTCTCTCTTTTCTGTGCTCCCTGAGAACCAAAAGGTCTGAAGCTCGCTTCTCTACCTCTCTCTGTTCAATACATGTTCATGTGTATGCACTAGTTTGTAAAGTTATACGTGTTTGAATTATGATACGAATTTGTATAATTTCGATAGATTATTGGAGCTGATGATGATCGGACGGTATTCACCGATTCCGATCTCCTCTCCGTCTCGGATAAGCTCCGATTGGTCTCCATTGATGACGAAGTCAAAGAACAGGAAAACCATGGATCGAGTAGCGCTGAATTTCTGAAATCCGATGAGGAATTGGCTCGATTGTTACAGGTTCGGCGATTATTATTGCTGTTAAGTTTTGTGTAAAAAGTTCTGATTTGTTATTTTCTCTTTCCTTTCTTATGTTGTGGAAAATGAGATTTGAACTATTTGCAGGCTGAGGAGGACGCGCTTTTGTTTCAGCGGCTTGTTGTGGCAGAAGATAACGGACAATTTGAGGGAAGAGTACGGCCTTATATCGATCAAGTTCGCTTGGTAATTGATTTTCCTTGTTCTATAATTTGGTTGGACGTTTGTAGAATGTTGGGAAATAAAGAATTCTAGACATAGTAAAACCCAAAAACGCAGCTTTACTGAATTTCTTATTGCAAAAAATTGATTAAAAAAAGGGTTATGTTCTTTTCTTTATTTTTTTTTTTTAATTTGAGAGTTTATATTTCTCTGGAATTACCAATCATACAAGGGTTTCAATGCCATAAATATTTTTTAAGAAAATTAATTACTATTATTATTTATTATTTAAAATTTTAATCGGGTTGGGATTGGTGGTTGTCCTTTGCTGGTTTAGTACGAGGATCCAGAGCGCCAGGAGGCTGCTCGGAAAACAGTCCCTAAAGAAGAGCTTGAGGAGAAGGCATTGGTTTCTTTGGCAAAGGTGAGAAAAATATCTCTTTTGCATCTAGTAAATTGATGCATAAACCCTTTACTATTATTGACTGTCTTTGAAGTGTTTCATTCTACATATCGCATAGTAAAGGGTTGTATTTTGAGATATCAATGGTTTCACTTCTAGGATGTCTTGGTAATTGGTATATCTGATTAACATTTTTTAGGAGGGGAACTCTAAACCATCAAAAGAAGAACAAGATCATGCTTTCCTGCTGCAGCTGCTTTTCTGGTTCAAACAATCCTTCAGGTGTTTTCTTTTTTACTTTGTTGTTTATTACCTTTGAGCTAATTTTGCAGTTTCTTTCACTTTTCCAACCAAAAGAATAATATGATTTTGGAGTGTGTTTTCTTTCTTTATTTTATTTTATTTTATTTTTGCTAATAAGAGTTGACTTTGTATTTAGTTTTAAAAGGATGGTGTTCCTTTCACTGTAGTTCTGACACGCTGCTTGTTGCATGCCTGTGTCTCCTTGCTTTAATTATAATAGTTGGGTTAATGCACCTCCTTGTGATGGTTGCAAAAATACCACCATTAACCAAGGCATGGGTGTTGCACTTCCTTCAGAAATTCGTTTTGGAGGTTCTCGAGTTGAAATTTATAGGTATGCCAAATAAGACACTCTTTTTGCTGAGTTTTCACTTTTACTTCTTGTTCTTGCATGGTTTTTTGTAAGGCATTTGCTGGCATACTCTCTTTCATGCTCTGATAGGGACAAAATATATATCTAATACCTCTGTTTTCATATATTGAAAGTTACCTGCATTTAAGTCAATGATATATATATAATGGCCTTTCTCTTTTCTTTGAATGTAAAGGTTCTAAAGAGTTAGCTATTTAATAGGTTGTTTCTTTTGCTTGCTCCATTTATGTATTTTTGTTTGTGAAATGGAAAAAAACGCTGACTTTGGTGTTTTGACTTCACTGCCATATGTGAGGCATTGTGGCTACATTTTGCGACAAACATTTTTAACGGTGTATTGTTGAATGTTTTAATTGATTGAAAGTTAGTCTTGAACCTTCTGGTTTAAAGAAGCATACTTTTGTTGGTTATCGTTTGCTATAGAAGGATGCTTATTTTTGCACTTGTTCATTGATAATCCCAGATGCAATTCATGTTCTACAATCACCCGTTTTCCACGCTACAATGATCCATTGAAGGTATTTGTTTTGGATTAAACACACTTTTTTTCGTAGGATTAAAGACACTTGTTTAATCCATTATGACCTAAATCACTGTGTTATTTTCTTTTCCCAAATGCAGCTTGTTGAAACGAGAAGGGGACGTTGTGGGGAGTGGGCCAATTGCTTCACACTTTATTGCCGAGCTTTTGGCTATGAATCCCGTTTGGTTAGTTGTTTGTTGTGAACTTTACCCATTGCAGCCAACTTCTCCCATGCAACTATAATTCATATGCTCTACTCTTTCATTTATGTCTGGGAGTAAGAGGCCAACTAATTTAAGGAGAATCTGTATTTTCTTTTTGAACTTATGTGAGGGGTAACCTGTGGTCAGTGATTTGAGTTTTCTATAATCTGGACAGATCTTGGATTTTACAGATCATGTTTGGACAGAGTGCTTTTCACCATTTTTAGGAAGGTAAACTGTAATGAACATACTATTCTTCACACTGCTCTTCCTAATTCTTGTTTTTGAATGCCTTCGAGATCTAATTTATTTATGAACCCATATTGTGTAGATGGATGCATCTTGATCCTTGTGAAGGAGTCTATGATAAACCATTGTTATACGAGCAGGGGTATGTTTTCATTTATGAAGAATTATCTCACCATCCTCTTCTTGTTGCTCTATTTATCATTCTATTTTCTAACTAAATATGGATGTTATGCTTTTTTTGAAAGGTGGAATAAGAAACTAAATTATGTAATTGCCATTGCAAAGGATGGAGTTTGTGATGTCACTAAACGTTACACGAGGAAGTGGCATGAGGTAGTTAGTGTTCAGTGATGTAGTATGAATTTTCTTACTTCTTGAAGTCTTCGTAAAACAAGTTTCAATAGGAAAGTTTGGAAATTTCTCCCATGATGAGGCACTGTTTACTTGAATCACTGCTTGTAGGTTCTGTCTCGACGGAAAATTATTACAGAGTCTGCATTGTCAAGTGTCCTCATTAAGATTACAAAAGAATGCCGAAGTGGCTTTACATCTCAGGTGCTTTCTGCACTTGAAGACCGCAATGAGAGGGAAAGACAAGCACTTGAGAGAGATTTACATTCTAAGGATGATGCCTCAATCTCATTACCTGGCAGACAAAGCGGGGACAAGGAGTGGCGCAAATTGAGATCAGAATTGGGTTCTGATTCCTTGAGTTGCTCTTCTTGTCCGGTTCGTGTATGCATAGATGAGCATGTGTCTAGAATTTATGATGCATTTCTTCCCTTACTTTCTTATTTTGTCAAAGAAGAACTTGCTCGGTCAAGAGCTCTTGAAGTGCTTGGGATTCTCAAAGGCATTCTGTTAGATCTTCAGAAATCCCCTTTCAGAAGTAGGAGGACCTCACTAGAATCAGGATCAAATACTAGTCAATCTTTTGTGCATCAGTTGCTGCCCTCTTTTGACGAGTTGCTTAATGCTCTGTCACTGAGTAAGGTGGACACTGATGGGAGGATTGATATTTGTTTGGCTGGAAACCCTGTTCATACTTCTCTAGCACTGCCTGTGGCATTGGACGCAGCCGATGATACCATCCGTAATCTTAAGAGTTGTGGAAACTTGAGTAAAGATTCCCTTTCCTTGCCTCTATTGAAATCAAATAGAATACATTCTGGTTCAGTACTTGCTAGTGGCGAAGAAATTCCTTTTGGAATCGTGAGTTGTATTTGGCCTGATGATCTATTTGTTCCTTTAGAGTTTATTTCTTAAACTTCTTTCTGAATGTATATCTTTATAAAAATTCAGGCCACATCAGCGTTTGATGGAATCCGGACTACTAAATGGGAAGAGCCTAATGGTGCACGAGGTATTCTGGACCAAATGAAAGATTATTCTCTTATGTTATATGTTTCATTACTGTGAATTAACGAAATGGATAACAACTTACGAGTGCTAATTCTTATTTATGACCCTGTAGGTTGTTGGATCATATATAAGTTGTCAGACAACCAGAAGCACAAACTTGTGGCGTATGAGTTAATGTCTGCCAATGATGCGCCAGAAAGGGATCCAATGGACTGGTACGCGGTGTATACATCCTTCCATACAACTTTTCTATTCTGCACACTCACTTTTTCTGTCATTTTAGAGGCAAATGGCATGTATTATTGCTTGACTAGGAAGTATCCTTTCTAACGAGGGAATCGATTTCTTCTCTCTTTCTGAACGAGTCTTGCTACAAAGATGATGTTTTAATCTACTTTTCTTTAGGGTTCTTGAGGGAAGCGATGATGGGGGATCCAGTTGGCATATTTTGGATAAACAAACTTCACAAAAGTTTGATGGCCGTTTCCAGCGTCGAACATATAAAGTCGCATCATCTTGTCTGCCATCAAATGCTTTCAGGTATGCTAAAAACAATTTGTTCAAAATTGCTGGCTGATATTCTGGTTCCTTAGTAACTTGATAGTCCTAAATGGGCAGGTTTAGGTTTTTGGCAGTTCGAGATGTTCATTCAACTTCACGGTTGCAAATAGGTTCCATTGACCTCTATGTATAATTGGCCCAAATTCTCGGCCAAAGCGAGTGGCTGCCCTAATTATATGATTGAACGTTGGTTTTATGCCCTTCTCATATAATGTAGTATTGCAGTTTTATTGTCTTTTTAAATATAGAAACAAGAATGGATATCTGATTGGAATCAACGGGAAAATTAATTTCGAGAAAAAAATAGCAATAAAGTGGTAATGTTATGATTTTTATAACCAACCATGTAATCCTTTCGATTTTGAAAATTAACTACCCTTCTGCGATTAAAATTGCTGTGGAGTTTTGTCTTCAAGTTTAAATGACAAATCGTTTGGAAGTATTATGGCATCTCGTTTCCGTTTTGGTGGTACAACAACACAGCTTTTGCCTGTGAATTTTTCTGTGGTTTCAAAATCATGTCAGTTGTTCGTTTAGGATTTGTTTTCGCTTTTGTGAATTACTGAAAGCAACAATAATTGTTCAGTCTTAAAAGAAGAATGACCTCAAATTAATATGGACTTCTTATAGTTGCTTTAGTTAATTTAAATTTTCTTTTAACATTTGAGGCTATTAAGGAAATATAGAGCGGACACTAGTGTTCTAAAGTTGGGACCAGCCACGGAGGGGAAGCGCACCTGCCAACAAAAGCAAATTTAATTAAAAGCATATGTGTTTACAAAGGTAGAGAAGAGGCTCCCAGAGCCAGTGAATACATCTGCTGCAAACAACTTGTAGGAGTCAAAAGCAATTAAGAGAAATTGAATAGTCAAAATGAACATAATCGTTTTATTCTCAAACTAAATGAAAGAAGCAATAATAATAAACTCAAATTGAGAGAAGATGCGACTCACATTCTTGATCATCTTCCTCTTGAATTAGTAACGGCTATTGTATAGTGGCTTCTATCTATTATGGAACTCCCACATCGACAAAGTAGGAAGAGAATAGGCCTTTGACATGTATAAAATAATTTGGATTTGGAACTAAACGACTATGACTATTTTTCAACTAAAAAGCTTACAAACCTCTTAAATTTTTCCTTTTGAAGGAAATAGAATTATCAAAATTGTAGATGGTAGATCGGATTAGACTCATTTATTGTTTAAGATATTATTATTATATTACAAGTTTCATATACTATTATCTGTATTTTTTTTTTCATTTCATATAAAATAGAAACTTAAACGAGCATACAATAAAATCTTTTGATTTGGTTTAACTATCCATAAAAAAAAATATCATTTTCAAAGAGATTTTCCCTTTTGTATTGGCAACTTCAAAAGCAATAAAATCTTTTGATTTGGATTTGGTCCATTCTGATTTGTACGGTGGTGCACCAGTGAATTCCATCACTAGAGCAAGATATTTTCTGCTTTTTATTGATGATTACTCTCGGTTCACTTGGCTTTAGACTAAAACATGAAACTTACACCACTTTTCTCAAGTTCAAAGCTACGGTTGAAACCCAATTTAATACAAAAGCAAGGGAACTTCAAGCTCTCGAGGAGCAGCCATGCACTTCATGCTCTTGGCGAGCAACCCCGCATAATCGCGTACAAAAACAAATTAATTAAATGTATTTTGTTTATTTTTGTATTAGAGATTTGAAAAATTAGGGAACTTCATGCTCTCGGAGAGCAACTGTGCACAATCGCGTACAAAAACAAATTATGTATTTTCTAAACCTTTATAGAGATTTGAAAATTTTTCTATTTTTATACTAACACGTGTTTGATTTAGCTTCAATTAGTCAATGATGTTATATTTAAATTTCAAAAAATTATATCAATTTTGCTATTTGAGTTGTTTGGGTAATAAATGGGTGTTTTTTTTCGTGTCAACCTACCACAACACGTGTACTAAACATATTTTTACGTCTTGTCGTGTTATATGTGGAATAAATGTTTCGTGTATGTTGTATTCACGTGTAGACTAATCGTGACATAAATATATTGACTCAAATATGATGAACATGAATTGCCAGCTCTAATTACTATGATGTTGATTCTATAGTTCATTGTCTTTTACATCGTCTTTCAACAAGGAAGTAATTTTCTTGTCCAAAGTCCACAGTTCTCAATAAATAAAACGACATGTCATATAATTCTTTGGTTAATATGACAATTCGTCTTCTAACTTAAGCTACATGTCTGCTATTAATTATAATAAATTCCCATGCCGTTGAATCTGTTTAGTTTGGAGTCGCACTGCCATTTACGATTCTTGTTTAGAAGTAGGTGTCGTTGCTGTAGTAGAAACGACATATCGTATTGAAAAAGTTCTCCGTCCTAGGCGTAAACAAACGACGTTGTTTACTTAATCTTAAGAAGTTGACATGGCGGGTCCTTTTATGAGTAAGCGACTTGTCGTGTTAGTTAAACGACATATAAAAAAAACACACGATGTCGTTCTCTTGTAAAGCTTCGTATTGGCTAATGATCAAAAGACTTACCGAAATTTCTGTAGTCGAATCTAGATAATGACACATAGTTTTTCATAGAATATAAAGTATTTTTTTTTTATTAACTTCTGTTTTCAAATATGAACAACAAATCGTTTTTGTAATTTAAATTTGGTGGCTGTTTAGTGTTTTGGAAAACGACATATCCTTATATTTTGAAGTTTACATGTCAAATTTTTTCAGAAGTTTCTATTCTATCGTTTATTTAGATTAAGCCACCTGTCGTTTGGAAATAGAAACAACTTGAATTGTCTTTCCAAACTTTCTATTTCTATTTTTCTCTATGTTGAATTGTCGCTTTCAGGTTAGATCCCCCATTGTCGTAAATGTAGCACATCGATATGCGGAGGATTGTAGTATTCTCTAAGGTAATGACGAGACAGTAGTGATGCCGCAATAGGCCGTACTAATTTTCTCAATAAAAAAAAAAGAAAAAAAAAACAAGGGATAGCAATGGACGGGACAGAGTCGGGGAATGTTTTCCCGTCTACATCCCGGCCCTAAAAAACCATCCTTGTCCCTGCCCTCATTCCCGCTTGAGAGAGACAGAGTTAGAGAATCTCTGTTGAGAGGACTTCATGTGTGTATAATTATGTACATTATATGTCGTCTCAATTTAACCAGTGAGATACTGTAATCCTCCTTATAATCACGATGTGCCACTTATAGTATGAATAGTTTCTACTAAGTTTTGGGTAGCATAATTTTTTGCAAATCATGTCAGTAGTTATCCATTGCTAGGAAATTTGCTAGCACGCCATTCATGCACGCGAATTTGTGTAAGGGTCACTAATAATCTTATATGAACACAGTTTTGACTCAATATTTTGGGACAATTACTATGAGAGTTGTTATATTTACCGTTTGGTAATGTATGTGGATTCAAGTTTTAGTTGTGGGGACATTTTCTTATTGGTGTGACATCAAGATGCAATAGCAAATATAATATAGATCATGATCTTACCAAATATTTGCTATTGCTCATACCAATAACCCACCATTACGTAGTATTATTTGGAGATGTAATTTATTGTATGGAGAGAAAATTACAGATTTTATCTCGTTAAATATATGATTTATTAAAAGTATTCCTTTTAAAAAAATTTACTATTTAATTAGTTTTAATCTAAAAAGTAGAAATATATAGGCTAATATTAAGAGGTAGAAATAAAATGAGGCTCCATTTCAATGGGTATTTTTAAAAATTACCCTTGTATATATATGTTGTCAGCCTATGTTTCATAAATAAATCTTCACGGTTATTTGTGACATATATAATTTTATGAAGTTTATGTGTACGTGTGTGTATATATAGGTTTAAATTTGCACGCTATATTGTTTAACATATAAAACGGCTCATGTAAAAGAGATATGGTGCTCCCTAACTAATTATGTGTTAGTAGTATGGCCAAGTTGGTAGACGTTAATTGAAATTCATCTTAAACTCAATCCAAATTTAATGTTTTTTTTTCAAGAAAAAAACAAATTCCAATAATATATATATAGAAAATAATATTAGGATTAAGATTAATGCAAAATAAATAATATGTATAATTTTTATTTAAAAAAAAATATGTATCTCAGGGCGGGATAGAGAGCGTTCTTCATGTCGCACCCCAATCCTGACTCAGAGGCAAAAAATTGTCCCCATCCGATTCGACCTCCACAAACTCTATTAACAATTTGTGGTCCTTGTCCTATTAGGGGCAGGTCCTCACGGGCACATCTGAACAAGGAAAATATCGTTTAAAAAAATCCAAAACTCTATAACCAAATTTATGAAAGGAAATTATATCGTGATTAGCAGTAAAAGATGACCTATTAAAACTCTCACTAACACAGGATCGATTCTCATGGTTTGTTGTGAAGTTGGAAAATATGAGAAGAAGGGAAATAGGTATAATTTTATGTCTCTCATTGGCAGCCAAATATGATTTAGACTCATGTGACTTTGAACTCCTTGACTTTTAGTTAAAAAATGGACTGAATTCCCTTCCTTTAAACTCCTTGATTTTTAGTTAAAAAATAGACTGAATTCCTCCTTTTCACTCGTTGTCTCGATAGATTATCAAGTAACCGTTAGACTAACATGAGAACACTAATGATTTAAAATTTTTATAAAATAAAATAAAAAACTTGTTTATTGCACAATTTCTTAATTTATACTTTAGTTTTCAAAAACATAAGTACTATAAAAAAAATATACAAAAACGAAAACATTTGTGCGTGTACGTGCTCACAAATTTTGTGGCAAAAAAAGGCTTGCACCTTTTGGCTTTTGCTAGGGGTAAAAAAAAAAGGCTTGTACTTATTGTCAACCAAATTCGATATGCGACTAAAAACACAAGTTGAAGCTCTAAGCAGTCTAAAGTAAAGATGAGCCGCATAACCACCCAAATAAAGGGCATTGCTAGGAACTCTGGAACAGGAATTGTTATAAAAGCAACTTTAATTCACACGTCATTTCTTTATATTGCAATTTCAATCAAAAATTTCGAAAAAGCAAAGTGGCCAAAGAGAAAATCAGCAATATAGTCCCAGTAGTCCAACTTGTTTCATCCATCCATTCATTTCCCTTTTTTTTTCTTCTCCAGTTTCTTCAGTGACCGTCCTCAATCTTCTTCAATCCCTTCATGTCCGTCGTCTCCACACTGCATTACAATCAAAACACGCAACATAATAATCTACGCATAGAGCAAAAGATTATGTCGTACAGGCTTTTATATTGTACAAGTTTATCAAAATGGCCATGAGAGAGAAATATAGGAAGCTAATCATAAAAAGGACGATTAATTTCATAAACGCTCCCCAAACTTTGTATCATAGTTCAACACGCCCCTGAATATTAAAAAGGGTTTATTTCGCCCTTAAAATATGTAAGGTGGTTCCAAACCCAAACCCAACCATACGTTGTACCGTAGAGACATATCTTTTGGACTTTGGTGACATCGGAACCAGATTGATTGTCCTCAATGAAGATTGTCAAGCTGATACAAATACAATGTGAGAATTCTTACTAGTGGAAGGAAAACAAGAGGAGTACGTTGACATAAAGAGATTAAGCATACCTACGGACATTCTGAAACTTGACATATTTTAAAAGAACTGGTTTTCCCTGCAATAAATAAGGGCCTCGACAATAATTTTCGGTAAAAAGGGCTAAACTTCTGTAACAAGTCATTTTATCGAGTAGAAGCTTCACACAAGGCAGCATGAAAATCATACCGTAAGATTGTCGGGGGATAAAACAATTGTGTCACTCGGTGGAAAGTCATTGACGTTGCTGATATTATTAACAAGACATACAAGCATCAGTTTTCAAAACCTCGTGCAATTTTAATATGCAGAACAGTTACCATTCCTGAAAAGTGTACCTGAATCCCATGTGCTCCTTGTTTGAGAAAAGTTTTACTGTCTTAGGACCTGAAAGTCAACGGTCAACTCTTTCAGTTAAACACTAGGAAATATCAAGTTGATCAATAAAAGTTGTGCAAGTAAAGTGTCTATAGTCATGACTTGTATTAAGAAGATACCCAATAAACGTTACAACCTGCTGCGAGATAAAGGGGAACCCAATAGAACTATGCAAATAACACGGGGTTAATGAAATTTATAACCAAAGACTATTTTTTCTTGGTAGTTATAACGCAACCATGCAATCTCTACAACCATACAAGCACGAAACATGATTGCTATAAAGCCCAGTACGATGCATACTGATATATAAAGAAGTTTTGGTTGCTTTTGCTTATGCAACATTTTTGTATGAAAAGAAAGATGAAAGTAAATGGCCCAAAATAACCTAAATAAAGTAACTAATGTTCAATCATTAATTTCCCTCACCTCGCATAAGGATTAGATTAGTCAAAATTTTAGTAGCACTGAAACCAATAAATACTTTATGATATGATCAATGTTAATAATAATAATAACAATATGATCAATGTCATTTGCGTTCAGGCATAAATGAAATGAACAACTTTTGATTGGTACCTTCCTCTTCAGGTCCCTTGATGGCAATAGAATGTAGTTTCACTACTTGATTAAAAGGTATGTAAATCAGAAGCTGCTCGTCAGCATCACTCTCCAAATTCAAACCTTCATCTTCTCTGTAGCCCTGAGTACACAATGAGTAAAGAAGGTAAGAATATCTGCATTACCTTAGTTTTAAATGCCAAGGAAAGAATAAGAGAAAATTTGATACTGAAACTTTATTAGACAACGATAAAACCCTTAGCCCCTAAATCATGCCCCCTCACTGGACCGCCTATACAGAGAAGACCACAAATGTGACATATTGTCTGCCGTTCCCCCAAATCAAATCTTTTATGAATGCATCACAGACTTGGTTTCGTACTCTTCATTTATTCTTTTTTTATGAGTATACTACTCGTCCCATGTATTAATCAATTTATCTCACACACATTAATTTTCTCCCCGCAAATCAATTGAGCATTCCGCTCATTCCATTTGCACGCCGTCTTCCACAGGGAAAAAAAAAGGTGAAGTCTTCACCCAGGTAACAAAATATCTTGAAAATCCTATAATGAACATAAACTCTATTTGGATTGTGATAAACAAGACATGGAATGGGACAGGATTTAGGGACGGTTGATCTCAGTCCTATTAGACATGACAACAGTTATGAACTGTGCTTGTATATTTCACAACATCAAAGAAACGCAGACTAATAAATTTATCTACCAGCCTTCCCAAAACCATACAAGAAAAATACGTTTAAAACGTTGTCCCAAATGAAAAGAGGAAATAAGCTTCAAAAAGGACAACCCTACTTGCTATCCCATGAAAACAGAAAACGGAACACAACAAGAGAAATCATATCTGTAATATTCAGTTAAGATTTCTTCCCAGATATAGTAAATCTTCTCCATTTTAAATTGCAAACTAAATATGGTTAATACATCGAACGTGTACATACTTTCTTAGTCTCAATCAAAATCCAAGTAGTGAACAAGTACAATAAGAATAGCACCAATAGCACCAAATTGACCTTTTCCCCACCACCCCACCCCATCAAGTGCAGAAAATACTCTCTCTTGAAGAAAAAAATATGACCAAACTTATAATATTCCACACCAATAAAATAAAATAAGCATACACACTACAACGCCCACTATGAAGAAAACGAAAAAAAAAAAGGCTCGGTTTTTAAGTCAGTTTTTCGAAAGTGATGGTTCCCCCCCCTCCC